TGTTTTTTATTTATTCATTGCATGAGCTAGTTTGTGCTTTTCACTTGGTAAAATTCTGTTTAGATCTCCTCTAATTGGCAGAAGTACAATGCAAGACCAAGGCTTCTTTAGAGAACAGAATGTTGTAGCTTTGATATTAAAAGTAAAGCTTCCAGACATAATGATTGAATAGCTTCATGTCTTCAATTCTGCATTTTCATGCCAAGTGTAACTTCGGTTTAGGATAATTTTTTTTATTATTTTAAGTGCTTTTTTGGAAGCATTTCAGTCATTATTTTTATATTTGATTTTAACATTGAGTGACAGTGTTCCCAACTAGAACATTTTTGTTCCATGCTGTAATGTGAATTTAGTCTCTCTGTCTATCTTCATCATTTTGGCTTGTGCAGAATTTAAGGAATCTCAGAAATCAGTCCGTATGTCAAAATATTTGAGTATATTTAGTTATTACTGTTACTAATAACTATATTACTGTTTAGCAGTTATGGTTACTGCATATTATTAGAACTTTTGAGCCATAGTAGAAAAAAATCCAGCCCTTTTAAAAATGACAAATCTGTCCTATTGCCTGCATTCTCTTTGCTTAGGAAGAGACATGAACACTCTGGAAACGAAATTTGATACTTTTAGTTGAGGCCACTTCATCTTGGAATAAATATGTACAGGATTTAATGCAGTTGAACCAGTTTACTTTAGAGACACACCCATACGGCTGCTTGATGTTGCAAAGGTTAGTTTAGCGCACAGCAACTGGAGGAGTGAGCGTAAGCACGAGGCGTCCTTTACTGATGCTCATGTGAAAATCCCAGCATACGCCTGCATGTCAGGTAACCACGTTACCTGCTCTGCTTGTGTTCCTTTCTAGCTGGTGGCAAAGTCCGGCTGGTGCTGGCTGGCGGGCAGGGTGCGGAGTGGAGAGGCGCTCGCTGGAGCGGCCCAGCAGCTTGGAGGGTGAGCACGGTGGGGAGGCCTAGCCCCTGGGTCCTGAGCAGAGACCCTCCCTGTGCTTTCATTACGTGTTTGCACAGGAAGTTAGTGCAGAGATACTGTACTTTAAAACTATGTCCTGATTTACTTGCCTGTTAGTACAAGTCCTTAAAAATGCTTGTAGAATCCAGCCAGATAATTTGAAGGGAAGGGATGATTTGTCCTACACCTGAACCAACAGACTAGTAGAGCAATCCTAGCCCAAGCAGGTGCGGGCTAGTTCTGTATAGTTACAGCCTTACAGCTATAGTTATAGCTCCTTACCTAGGTCCTTCCCAAATCATATGGGCAAAGCAGCTTTTAACGTCTGAAAAAAGTGTTCCAGGGAGAATGCAAATGTAGCATTGGAGAAACAAAAAGGTTGTGTTTATGTTTTTCTATAAATGTGACGCAAGACTGGCACCTTATCTATATGAGATGCTTTTCTTATACAACTCATACAGTTCGTATTGTTGGTCTTCAGTGTACACCCTGTCAAAAATGTTCTGAAAGTGTCAGAAAAAATGGCTGTATTTATATAAGCTACCACACAAGGCAGAATGTAGAAATTGTGTTGAATGAAAACGGGTAGATCATACAGCAGAGGTGACCCAAAAAGGTCTGTTGTGTAAAACTGTTTTCATCCATTCTCCTAAGGTAAATAGTACAGACAGAGTAATACAGAGTGTTCTTTTCTTCAGGGATGAATAAGCATAAGATGGCTGCAGTGTGATGCCCTGCAATTTAATCCTTTGCATTTTTGGAGAGTATGTCACATAAGCTGAACAAAAATTCTTCTGTTTTCATGTCCTGTAATTTCAAAGTAGAACCGTTAAAATTTTACGTTGTTACACTTAATAAATACTGTGCACTGAGTTTTGTTTCTGGTATTGTGCTTAAAGGACAAAGCATAAAGATATGTGTTTTAGTGGTGGTTTTCAAGGTGGCTGCTTTTGTAGGCTGCAGCTATGGCTTTGGTTCTGGAGCTGACTCGCACTGGACTTGATAAACGTAATTGTGCAGTCCTGCTACTACCCTTGCACCAATAGTCGCTTGTCAGACTCTTTGGAAACCAGTTCAGAAACTGATGGAAAACAAATCTTTTCTTGTAGGAATATTATTATACTTTGGGGGGAGGGGGAGGCAAAGTCCCTAAACAGGGCTTCCTTGAAGGTCTGATGCATGGCGCACGCATGGGAACAGAAGTATGTGGGATACTGGAAGGGAAGGTGAACTCTTCCTTTTTCATGTTAGCTAGCTGTTATATGCACTTGACTGTAATATGAAACGGTGCCCAAGTTTTGACACCAGCTCAGGTTAAGTTTTTAACTTTGTGAGAGTTGACTTGTTTGACAAAACAGCTGTAAGTGGATTTTATGTTAGGCTCAATAGACTTGTAAGAGAAGGCGCTTAAGCAGTGTGCATCAAGTGTGACGCTGCAATTGAAGATGTTTTCACTGGGTGTGTACCTGCCAAAGATTACGTATACAGATTTTGCAAAGACCGGCACGTCCAACCATTTGCAACGCTTTGTGACTTACCTGACCGCTCCAAAGGTTAATTTCTGGGGTAGGTTAGGTGTTGTGCCATTAGGATACTTAACATTTTTGCCTTATCGTAGTAGGAGCATTAGAACCTTTATAACATTTGCAGTAAGGGTTTTGAATCATTCTTGCAATTCTTGGAGTCTGCGTAGTTTCTTCAGATATGCCAGGCTAAATGCTAACTTAGGAGAATTGCTGATTCTTAAAATTCACTAGTTTCACTTATTTGTAGTATTCTTCTCTCATTCCAAATCACTACATCTCTTCTGTAAATCAGACAATTAATGATTGGCTTGATGCATGTCATTCTTGATAGCCTTATGAGTTTCTGTATTTTCGCAACAGTTAGGTTGTTTAGTGTTCCCGTTGTAGGCTTGCTCTGAATTTTAGAGCTATAGGGCAAAGAACACATGTTGTTACTTAAAATATACGATAGCATTTGGTGCTCAGTGAAGCAAAATGCGCATTTGATGCATGCTATCCTATTGGAGCTGTGCTGTGGTTTCACATGTGCTGCTGATCATTGGAGTGTAAAGAAACATCTTTTTTAAAAAGCATAATCTTATTTTCCTATTGAAAGGTTTCTCCATAGTCAACTTCACATGAAGCTGATACAATCTTTTGGGGCTTACATAGTGTTGGAGAAGAGGAGCTGCTTGCCTCCAAATTTTACTGGCCATAAGTTACAACTGATGTTTGCCTCTGGTTTAAGGACGGTTACTTACTGCTTTTTGTATGTAGAATGGTTCAGATCCCTCTCCTCCTCCCCCATTGTGAGGTTACATCATGATTTTGTAATATCTTCTACTTAAATTCAATTCCAGAAAACCTGCAGGTTTGGTTCATGAGTGAATAGGTGAGTGAATGAAAAACTTAGCAGAATCAGGCGATATCTATTCATTCAGGTCTGTGCAGATCTGTGCCGAGTCCTCTTGCTTATAGTGGAACATAACAGAGAAATATAAGTTCCATCATCTGATTTGCTGGTTCTAACTGTGTTTTCTTGCTCTGGCACCAAGAGAACTCAGGGTTCATATGTAGAACAAGCCCTGTCTAACTTCTTACCGCAGCCCTGGAAAGGCCCACCTAGTGGACTTACAGGATCTGTATCTTTGATTTTGAGACTAGGGATAGCAGGATAAATATGATTGAACTGTGAGGTAGCAAGCATAATAATTTAGAGCTAGGTGGGACCACAGATCATTTTCAGTAAATGGCATATATCAAATACTGTAAATGGCATATATCAAATACAGTGTCTGGACAAAAAGGTTGTTTCTAATATGTTGTGAAACCTGGAAGCATATAGAAGTCCTGAATGAACTTTTACAGAACTTGTATTCTCTCTTGAAGACATTGTCTGATAATTAAAAGCAACAACTGATATAAGCTTTTAAAAAAAGAAGTTAGTTTTGTCTTTCAGTTCTCCTGTGTGTGTTTAAAAATCTGCATATAATCAGCTACACTGCTCCTTTAGGGGAGTAATCTGTTTACTTTTTCCAAAAACCCTAATAAATACTGTTAGGGAAGGAGGAAAATGATTTGAATATCCTTCTTTCAAAAGTGTGCTATTTAAGATTCCTCCAAGGAATTACTCTTTTTTTCAAAATAGTTGATTTTAGAAAATTCATAGGGGGCATCATTTTGCGTATACCATCTTGTAAAAGCGTCCATTGCAAAGCAGCCTGAAAAGAAATGTACTTCCTGTTAACCTATATCAAATTAGCATGCAGATAAAGGAGGTCTTTTAGTATCTGAATTGGAGAAAGTAATTACTTGAACAAACAGTACAGAATGAAAGAGACCCATCGTTCATATACTTTAATTCCATATTAGAGGTCTCTAGATACTGAAATCCCCTGATTTACTTAGAGTTGGCTCATGCGTGCATGTTTTACCTGACACTCGGCATGAAGGGATCCTGCAGTGAAATGCGAGCTTTAGTGCAATATGTATGTATATTTTTTGCAATGATATTGAAATTTTTGCTCTGCAAGGAATATGTATTAGAATAACGATAGTAAGGAGGACTCTTTAATATGTTCCTGTTATCATTTGGACCTTTTTTAAGAAGCATATGTTCTCCAAAGTCATGATATGGATTCAGCTTGTATTTTATGAAAGTATTAATGTTTTCCTTCATCTTGCATCTTTCTGGCGCTGTTCTTCCTAAGAAATAATGCTTGAATGTTTCCTTCTAGTGTCTTTGCAATACTGCTCACCACTACTACACGAGGTTTTCCACATAAGTGACAAAGTCTTGCTTTAGGACTTCATGAAGCCAGTCTCTCCCTTCTTTCCCGCTGTTAAAAACACTGAGATAATTTTTATAGCAAATTGTTTTGTTACAGGAGGGCCTAAATATGGTTTTGGTAGTTTGATAAACTTCAATTTGTAAGGTTAAAAACATATATACATATGTACTGTTGGCTTTACTTGGTCACATTATTCCCTATGTTGTGATCGTCAGAGTTTGTTTTCATCTTTCAGAAAACGGGGCAGTATTTGAAGGCTTGACAGATGCATCCGAGGCTGAAAAACTGCTGCATTCTTCCTCCTCTTCCTCCTTTAGAAAATTGACTTCTTTAAAGAGAGGTAAAGATGACCGTTGCGTTTTCTGTAGAAGATATTTATTCCAGGCAAAGTGAACTAAATACAAACGTCTGCTGTAGCATGTCCTGTGATGTTTTAAAGTAATTTATATCTATGTCTCATTCCAATGACTGATGATCATTAACTTCAGTATCTAACAAAAAGGATGTCTTTGGAAACCTTTGTCTGCAGAGTTTTGTTCAGTTATGTTATATTATTTCATAGAAAAATTGGTCAACTCTTCTGCTGAAATAAGTCACTCTTTACCTGAATTTAAATTAATCTAATGTTCTGAGTCTGCGTTACTTTTAGGATATTTAAACGTGCGTTAGAAATCTGAGGCAGATCTTACCCTCAAAAGACTGTATTCTCAGAAAGCATTTATCTAATTGCTTGCTGCCAAAGGCTGTGCTAAATGCTACGTGTAGTCCTGGTCAAAATTGTGCAGCCTTGAACTTACAGCTTCCCAACGCAATTTTTATGTCATATTTCACTTTATTTTCCGTTTAACAAACTCTGACCTGCTCTTAAATACAAATTTTCCTTCAGAAATAAAAAAAAAATTCCTTCTAAAACCAGAATAAATGATTCCAGTCATCTAGTCTGACTTTTTGAAGGCCATTTATCAAAGGACTTCATGATGTAACTCATATATCAAACCCGTAACTTCAGGTTGAACCTACGTAATTTTCAAAACACACATGAAGAAGAAAACCAAAAGGAAAAAAAAGACAAAAAAAAAAGCCAATAGTAGCACTTCAGATGTTCTTGACGTTACTTTTAAGAAGTTAATCGGCATTAAGTGTGTATGGAATTGAAGATGATAGTAGTAGTCTTCATCTTGTTATCATCTGGTTGTGGAAGTTTTTCTCTGCTGTCGCCACTGCAGACTAAAAGAACTTAAGAAAAAGGTGACTGTATTGAAGGAGTTGAAAAAAGAGGGGGGGAGGAGGGCTTTGAAGTAGTTAGTGGGTATTTGTAATTTTTAGGAAAAAGGTGGTAAAGATATCTGACAAAGTATGACAGCTTTGTTGAATATAATGTATTATATAGCTATTTAAACTTAAACAAAAAAAAAGTAGTGACCAAAGTATCTTTTAAAAATACAGTGTCCTTTCACTGATTATTTTCTGTTTCTCATTTCCATTCTGGCAGCTATTTAACTCTGAGCTGTCTCAAAAACGCGCTTTTGATGGAATCTTAATGAAGCAGTTGCTGTGTTCGTATGCCTAATATGGCTTCAAACAGCTTTTACGTTTTACTGTCTCCTCTGTGTATCCCTTTTCAGGCCTCTATTCTTAGCTGCTCTCCTCCTGGCTGACAAAGGTGGGCTAGGATATTGCTTAGCGTTTACAAGTGGTGCTTGTGCTACTGTTGTCATTCCGCGGGGGTGGAAAGGGGCTTGTAACCAGACATACGAAATTAATTTTCTGTATTTTTTTCTGTGTGGAAGGTTACCTAAAAAGTATGTGTCAGCATGTGTTGTCAGATGTGTTTAAATAGCCTCAATAAACACTGAACAGCAGTTTTCCCAGCTCTTTTACCTGTTGACTAGTAGAGAAGAACTCCTGAGGGTAAGGCAATAAGTTATTGCCATAATAAATTATTATTAAGCAAGGAAGAAAAATTTAATAATGCTTTTTTTCCCCACTGTTTGGGGCAGTGTGAAGTCTGCAGTAGGTTGGAGACCTAAGCTAAATCTATCTGAGTACCTAGCAGCTTCAATCTCCTTACGATTATTTTTTAAGTTGTCTTATGCTCAGGGTAAGAGCTTTAGCTCAATCTCTTTACTGTAAACCATAAACAACTGTTGAGAGGAGGCTATTTAATGCACGTGGTGAGCGCAAAACCCTATTAAAATATTTGTGTGTCAGTAATGCCATCAGCGTAAATTAAATGCATTAAAACTGCCTTGTATGTAGCTCTATAATGGTATTAACCTGTACGTTTGGCAACGCACTGTAGTGTTTAAAAAAGTTGTTAGTTCAAGTGCAACTTAGAGTGAAAGTAAATAAAAATCATTGTTGTCTGTTACATATACACAGAGGATAGTTCTCTTCATCTTTCGTGGTACAGAGATTATGCCTGACCTAAATTATATTGTATCTTTTTTTTTCCTTTTTGAGTTAACTTCAATGTTTTTAGCTCTTCTCTTTTGTTTCTAGCTATTCCAATTTCTTTATGTAAAAATATTTCCTTTTATAAGCTATCAAAACTTAAAATGTCTATATACCGTGTTACAAATACACTTCCAAAAGCAATCTAAAGGATGTGGGAAAACTCTTCATTTACAAATGGGATGGTTAAATAAATAATCCAGCACAGAATCCTAGAAGGGAGCTACGTGTGCTGAGAGAATAACACAACCTTTCTTACAGTTCACGTTCATTTTCTTTATCCTTTTTGTTTGCCGTTTGTTAGATCTGAAGGTCTCCATAGACGATGATGTCAGATGCTATTTCTGAATACTGCTCTTTCTCGTGTTCCTCCCGATACGCACAGGCCCACACGCAAGCACGCACATGTGTATATGCTCTCCTGCATAAGACAGTTTGTAGTTGTAGAAGAGGCACAGGAACACTTTTTTCATGTCTTTTTTTTTTCTGCCTCTAATTTAGTTAGAACATGTTCTTGTTAATCTCCTGAATGAAATTATGTAATACTATTGCTGCAAACTAAAGAAAATTAAGTTTTATTTTCAGACTAGCTACTTTTATGATCTGTGTGGATGGGCATCAGAGCAGAGGAGTCTCTGCAGATGAATCTTGACTGCCTTGCATCAGCACTGAGTCTGAATTAATGACTAGCTCTCTGAGAGTGCCAGATAAAAGGCCTGCCTGCCATGTCTTTTATTTCTAAAAATAAATTCTAAAACATAATTATTAACTATAAAATTAATTGAGAAGAGAACCTTACTGTGTTAGTGCAACCTATTTTGAAGAGAGCCTCTGGTTTTAAAGCACGTCAATGGAGAGCAGGGTAGGAGTGGGGATTTAAGATCAACGTTGAGTACTCAAGTACTACTTTGTCCCCAGAGCTAATAGAAGAGGATGCAGTGTTGTTTCTGGTGTGCCTTAATGCATCTTAACCGTAGTATGAATTGACTGCTTATAGATGTCAATACTGAATACTCTGTTCCAAAACTAGAACTATGTATTTATTGAGAGGTCTGAGTTTATGAGAGGGATCAATAACAGTGTAACATCCCACAGTAAAGTTATTTAGTCCTGAATTCTCCAACTCATGTAGTTCCACCTGACTTCTTATGACTTTGAGTCAGAAATAGGCTTTAGTCTCACGCATCAGTGAAGTCTACTGCTTCATTTCACTTCATCAGATTAAAATCTGCTGCAATCTCAGTGGCTTCCAGGTATTGGAAACCTGTACTGAGGCCAAGCAGAAAGACAGATTACTCTTGTTGTTCAGACATATTAAGGCTTCTATTTTCTTCAAAAGAATGTTCCTGATGCATAAAAGTATAAATGTGTAAATGTCCTATTTGCTAATATGCATCCTGTCTTACAAGGGAAGTGGTATAGGTCCAATGCTTAATTTTTCAGCTGTTGCCTAGCAGCAGAATGTATACGTCCTGCCATTTATGACAAATCCCTCAACAGCTGGTATTCTTCTTTAAGATGCCAAAACCTTGATTTTAATGTGCCTGTTAAACAAGGGAAAGTACTCTTTCTTCTAGCAGCAGAGCCGAGTTTGAGGAGGTAAGTGGTAGGGGCTAAAACAATAAAATCAGAAAGCAGACAGGTTATCCTACATTTTGTATTTAGATACAATTTGAGAGAAGTTTCAGTTGGTTTAGAATAGAGAGAAGAGAGTCTTACATCATACGTTATTTTTCTTACCGCAAATATGGTTGTTAAAACATTGTTTTTCAAATACTTTCTCAGAGCACTGTGTATGTTGATTAAAAAAAAGAAAAAAGTTAATTAAATTGGGAGGGAGATCCATAAATATTAGCAGGTATCTTTAAAGCTTTGTACTAGCTGTGATGTAAATTGCTAAGCCCTTATAAAAACTTCAGTTTGTATTTCTTCCAGATTTTCCAGGTAGAAATGTTATGCAAAATTCTGTTTTATAAACCAAGGTCAGTGTGCAAACCAAAAATATTTAGGGTATTTATCCCCTTAACTATTATCCCTGTGGAAACCTGATATTTAACTAGCTCATTATTCCAAGTGTTTAGGAAACTCTTAGGATAAACTTAGGCTTCTTATGGGTTATTCTAATGAAACAAGTGGAAAAAAAACTTAGAAGGCTTAACAGCATTCTTAACTGAGCTTTTTTGCTCGTTCTTGCTGTAATGGCCATTTTACTTGCTGACTGTGATTTGACAGTGTTCTCCCTGGGCCTCCTGTGGATTTTTTATGAAATCAGGAATCCTTAAACTGGCGATTTTATGGGCATAGATTTTTAAAAATCTTACATAGTTTTTAGCATGTATTAATGTAATTCAGTTCAGTCAAATTATTTCTACTGGGTATTTTTAAGTCTTTTTAGGATGAAAAGGAGGGTTTTAACTTAGTTTGCATGCATTAATCAAACTAAACTTTCCTTCTCTCCCCCATCCCAACTTATTCTCAACTGCTTTCTTACACTTTTAGAGAGGTACCTTATAATTTTACAGACAGTGTTTTGTTGGAGAAACTCTGCTTTCATTTGTATTATGGATATTTTCAGATTTCCTTCTATTTTGTATGTGGTTATTGTTGTGATCTTAATTTCTGGAACAGTATCTTGGAGTGAACGTGTGGGTCAATATTTTGTAGCTGATAATGTTGCAACTTTTTGAGATAAGTCTAATGAACAGAGCAGACTAGTTTCATGGAATTATCTCTACATGCTAGAACTGTAATAACGAGTATATGACGATCAGAGTAAGATTGAATGGAACATATTGGGTTTTTTTTTTTGTAAACTTCAGTAAGTGCAGCATTGCCCATGAAGATGTCTGCTAGAGCATCGTTTCTACTGTGTTAAATGTTTTAATTAGGATGATTTTAAAGCTTGTTTACTCTGCTGATTTAATTCTAGGCATTTTATATTTAAAAAGATCTGTTTCATATGATTCTTTAGATGTTTACCATAGAAATCTCACAATTTCACATCAGAAAATAGTACTCAGCCTTTGTCTTTCTTAATGAGTGTAATGATTTAAACTGTTTAGTCAAGCAAAGGTGTCTGGCGATATGCTTATGTTTTAAAATTCCTGCTATTGCCTTGAGAATTATGCCTATGTAAAAACGAGAGATGTTAGAATAAGATTGTTCTATATGAATGGGAAAATAGTAGCAACAATTGTCCTTTAAGTCACTATGAGTTTTCTTTTTCGCTTCTGAAAATTCCAGCATACGTTTAGAAGGTCAACATTTTGCAGCTTGAAAGAGAAGCTTCAAAACTCTTTAAGAACAAGCCTTAAGGACTAAAATTCTTCTATTATGATTTCTAATAACTTGTTTTATGAAACCAGTTGCTTTACTTAACCAGATATGCTTTACTTCGAGCCATATCCAGAACTGTCATTACAATGTGTCACATGGTTTCTTCCATGATGCTCTTTGCTTTGCTCCACTTGTCATTTCT